ACTTGGGAGGCTGAGTTAGGAGGATTGCTTGAACCTAGGAGATTCAGACCAGCCTGGGCTACATAATGAGACCCCATCTCAGTCAATCAACCCATCAATCGTTTACACTAAAAGACCAAGATCTTTCTGGCTCTTTTAGAATGTTAGAATTCTAACAAATGTCTGTGTGTCTAAAACAATGAAAAAGGTTTACAACAGAGTTACAGCAGTCATCAGAGAAAAATCATGGAAAAATTGCAAATCTATACAAGTTGTGAATTGCTATCACTGCAGTTGAAATCTAACGTTATGGCCGGGCGCGGTGGCTCAAGCCTGTAATCCCAGTACTTTGGGAGGCCGAGACGGGCGGATCACGAGGTCATGAGATCGAGACCATCCTGGCTAACACCGTGAAACCCCGTCTCTACTAAAAATACAAAAAACTAGCCGGGCGAGGTGGCGGGCGCCTGTAGTCCCAGCTACTCCGGAGGCTGAGGCAGGAGAATGGCGTAAACCCGGGAGGCGGAGCTTGCAGTGAGCTGAGATCCGGCCACTGCACTCCAGCCCGGGCTACAGAGCAAGACTCCGTCTCAAAAAAAAAAAAAAAAGAAATCTAACGTTATTTTTGTACAGTCTTTTTTGGTGTATCTGTGTTTAATAATAACTTGTTTGTAAATTTAGAGGGCTGTACCTAGGATTTACTCTTAGAGACCTTGATGTTGAGGGGCTTAGAGATTAATGGAAGAGACAACTAGAAACCAAGAATTCAATGCAAAGAGTGAGGTTCTGCAGTACAGGGTGTATACAGGGTGCAGAGAAGCGCGGTGGCACCATGTTCTGGCCTCATCTTCTACTGCTCTAGACTTCCTAAGTGCCACTTCCTGAACCTACCTGTTTTTTTCCAGCATCTAGACCTCTCTCTGTACGCCCCGTTCTCTCTCCTTGCAAGCATTTTCCACACCTTATGTGTCTGGTGAAGTTCTGTTTCTTCAAAAGCTTCTTGAAGCCTGCCTCTAGCTCATCCAAGTAATTGTTTTGTCTACATCTCTGCTCTTTCTTTATAAATGATTACAGTCAATTCTTATTATTTGCAGTAGTAATATTCTATAAAGTTGCCTGGAACACTAAATTAATCAAACACTAAGCCCTTGTTTCCAGGGTCAGTATGTACATATGTACATATCTCACATAGGTTATAATCTTAATTCCAAAAAACCACTCATCCTGATAGATTGAATTTTTTTCTTTCCAAGAGAATAAGGGGAGTACAGAAGTGTTAAGTGATTTGCTTGAGGCCGCTCCACTAACAGGTGCCAGAGGTAAGATTCAGACCCCGTCCAATTGGCCCCAGAGGCACAGCTTCTTGCACCACACTACACGGCCCTCTACTGTCTCTGTCCTCAGGTCATATTTGTGTGAGAACTGAAACAAGAAGACCGAGGGACACCTTATTTGACCTTAGCTTGGGACGTGTGCAAGGAGTGACAGAATTTTCACTACTATGTGCACATCCATGAATCACCTTGAAAGCTCCACAGGTATTAATTTGGGGATTACAAAGACATTTCAGCAAGTAAGCAAATTAGCAAATGTGGGATCCACAAATAATGAGGGTCAACTGTATTCGTAAGTGATTACTAGGGTCTCTTTCATGGTAATCCCTTCCCCCAAGAGTGTGAAATGTTTCTTTAGCTTCTTTGATAGTTCATGTATTTATTAAGTACTTACTATAAACCAGACTCTGCTTTAATTTGTGGTGAACAACCTAGAGATTAAGTTCTGCCCTGTGGATTTTATATTAGAGTAAGAAAAAGAGATAACTAAGACTGGAGCTCAGGGGTGAGGCCCAGGTTGGAATTATAGATTCACTTGACCAAGGTGAAACCCGATGTGTCCCCTTGTACTTCACATTCAAAGACACACTTTTAGAACATTTCTCTTCTAGAGCATTTCTCTTCTATTCTTGTGTATAAACTCTTCCTTTTCAGCCTCTCTCCATTGATGTATGTCAATCCATACTTGTGTTTTGTTGATTTTGAGGCCACTTGCCCATGTAACTGGCAGGACATTGAAGAAGAATCATACCGACCGGGTTCTGCTACCTAACAGCTGAGTTGCTTGGGTCAAGCTCTTGGACTTCTGAGCCTGTTTCCTAATTTCAACAGTGGTGATATGATATGTTAGGCCCTGGTGGGTTGCAAGGAAGAGGCACACACATATCACCTTTGATGATGAGGGCCCAATGTTCACTTGGATGGAAAGTCATCCAAACAGTGGTATTGTCTCGGGCCCTAGTACTTTCAAAACCTCACACAATATTAATTTAGCAGTATTTAGGATAAGTTTTGAGCTCTGAGGACCTATACTGTAGTTATTTCTTCATATGGTTGTTTTCCATACTGGATGATGAGCTCCATAAAGGAAGGGTCTACAGTTTCTTCTTTCTATCCTAGGCACTCAGTTCAGTGACTGACACATAGTAATAGAGGCACAAATGTTTCAAGAGTTGAGGAATTTTCAACTCTTACTGAAAGAATAGGAAGATACAAAGACTTCTCAGAGAAGGTATTTAAGCTGATTTTTTTTTTTTTTTTTTTTTTGAGATGAAGTCTCGCTCTGTCGCCAAAGATGGAGTGAAATGGTGTGATCTCAGCTCACTGCAACCTCTGCTTCCCAGGTTCAAGCAATTCTTCTGCCTCAGTCTCCTGAGTAGCTGGGATTACAAATATAGGACAGACTGAAGGAATGTATCCAGCTTAATTTGAGTTAACATTTTTTGAAATTTTATATTGCAAAAATAGTAAATATTCACTCTTTTGAAACTAGAAAGAATTGATAGGCAAAGAGGGCTGTCTACAAAGCACTCCATAGATCCACCATACTGAGACAATGCTTAACGCTTTGATGGATTTATTGTATACTTTCTATGCATATAAGTGTATTATATACATACATGTGCATGCTTAAATAGAAAGATTTCTCCTTGGTGTTCTGTTTATCCATTTGTTTTGAAGTAAATCCCCAAAGAGCACATTTGCTTTGCCCAAGGGAGTCTTTTGCTACATCCTGCTGTACATTATGAAAACTAAAAAGGGGGCTAACATTTCAGCCTTGTGACCTTGTGGTGATTCAAATAGAGGTTTCATCAAAGGCAGATTCAGAAATGAAGTTGGTGTGTGTAGGTGGTTTTGCTTGTCATTATTTTTACTAATAGTATGATAGTGATGACTTCAGTGTCCACCAACAGGGAACTGGTTAAGTAAACCGTGGAACATTCTAACGGTGAATACTGTGCAGTTGTAAAGAAGAATGAGAAAGACCTCTGTACTCATGTAGAAAAACTCACATATATAGTGTGGGTGTTATAAAAGGAACAAGGAATGGCATCATATGAATGGTATGCTACTTTTAGTGTTGAGAGAGAAGAGTAGAATAAGAATATACATGTGTATTTGCAAAGATAAATTCTGAAATGATATATAAGAGACCAATTAAAAGTGTTTGGCTGTGGAAGGAGAATAAGACTGTGAATGAGATTTTGCCACATACATTCATAGTTATATTTAAAAATTTTGTGAACTATGTATTTGTACACATGACCCTTTTAAAAATAAGTGAATGAGGAAATGAAGTAGGATGATGAGAAAGAGATAAGAACAAAGGATCTAAGGGCCTGCCCATCATTTCAGTACCGTGAATATTAATACATAACAATAGCAGCAAAAATTGGAAGAGTAGCCCCAGGATGTCAGCCTTTCCTTTGTCTTTTCCTCAACTTCACATATTAAAAAAATCTGAGAACAATAAAACAATTTGAAATAAAAATGTCTCCAGATCTCTTAAAAGGAAGATGGGGCAGTGTTATGTAGTGCACTTCCCAAAAATGGGCTGATTTACCTCAAGAGACAGGGATTCTAACCTCCACGGGAACCTACATGGGAAACATACAACAGAAAAACTGAGAAAAAGAAAAGAGATTTAAATACAGATACATGAAAATAGCAATTCTCCCTGATTGTATAGGAAGTCATTCCTTTTGTAATAATTTGAATGACAAATATTAAGAAAAATCTTTAATTTGCCACTCAAACATTCTGGTTTGTTGCTTTTTATAAGTTTTTATGCATATAAACCTTTTTAAAGGTAGAATCATAATACTTTTGTCACTTACTATATTTTGGGCATATTTCTGTGGCAGTCAATATATCCTGGCATCATCATTTTTAACAGCTGGATGTATATTAAGTTAATCATTGCCACTCTAGAGGTGAATTTTCCTATATATACATTTTAATAGACTTGACCAAACATTTTTGGACTGAATTCGTAGAAGTAGAATTTCTGGAGGAAAATAATTTTTAGGGTTTTTAATCAAAATTTTCAAATTATCCTCCAGGAAGTGACTCAGGTTATACTCCCACCAACAAGGACAGAGCTCCAGGTTCCCCCTTCCATGTGTCATCTTTTCTGCCTTTATACAGAAAATGTCATTGTTTTCATGACATTTCTTTGATTTCTAGTGCTTTTGAATCTTTTTATATACCAGTGGCCATTTTTACTCTCATGAGAAGTGCCACTTTCTCCATTGCCTTTTCTCGGTTGAAAATCATTTGGTTTTTTTGTTTTGTTTTTTGTTTTGTTTTTCTTAGTAATTTTAAAGATTGCTTTATAGACTAAGGATGTAAAACTTTTATATGTCGATGAGGTTACAAAAACTTTCTCCCAGTAAGTAATTTGTCATTTCATTTTTCCTTACTTCTTTTCTTTTATTTTCCCTTCCCTTCCCTTTCCTTTCCTTTACTTTCCTCTTTCTTTTTTCCTCGTTTCTTTCTCTCTTTCGTCATTCTTTCTTTCCTTCTTCTTCCTTGCTTCCTTCCTTGCCATTCTGTTTTTTTTCCTTTTTCACTCTCTCTTTCTCTCTCCCCTTCTATGTTCTTTCCTCTTTCTTTTTCTTTCCCTCTTTCTTTCTCTCTTTACCTCTCTCTTTCTTCCTTTCCTTTCTTTCTCTTTCTTTGTTCCCTCCCTCCCTCCTTCCTTCTCTCCTTCTTTCTCTCTTTTCTTTCTTTCACTAGCCAACCTCCAAAGTCACATTTCACTTAATTTTTATCCTGCCAAATTTGAAAGCCTTTTAACTGAGTGATTTTAGTGTAAACAGGAGCAGGAGAAAATATAATGATCTAAGTTTCATTCTGTCACCCAGGCTGGAGTGCAGTGCCATAATCATAGCTACTGCAGCCTTGAACTCCTGGACTGGAACTTTTTGGTTCTGCATCTTTGCAGGTATACAAAATGTGCCTACCAGGAATCTGCTTTATATCCATTGAAAGCAAGAAATAATACAGTAAAACTTAGCCTGGCTAGAGGCTTTGAAACAATGGTGTATTCTGGTTTAATTCTAATAACTTGGAAATATGAAGGTGAAAAAAACTTCAACACTTAAATTTCCTGTTGAATGCAATTTGAAAATATAGCCAATGATTCCACTTTTCTTCTCTAGTAAGGTTGGACATCCCGATCTACTTGGTGTTTTATTATAGAACTGCTAGTGTGCCTGAGTCTCACATTGTGGAGATACTTTTTTAAAACTTGAGATGTAAAAGGATGTCAATGGTTTTGTATGAGATCAGCCTGGATGAGAACTGACACTTTTAAATATATGTTTTAGACTAAGTCTCTGATTGCCACTTGCTTTCTTATTGAACTCACAAAAATAAAAGACACTGGATACAGGGTGGGAGTAGGAAGGAGATTTATGTCTTTTCATTGCATGTCATTGTTGCATAACAAGGCAGAACGTATGTTATATCTGGCTTTGGACCTACAGAAGGAAACATATTTTTCTACCTGCCGTATGCCAGAGGTTCTTGAACACCTGGAGGGACTACTGCAGCACAGGTTGCTGAACCCTACTCCAGAGTTTCTGATTCACCAGGTCCAGGATGGGGCCTGAGGATTTGCACTTATGAAAAGATCTCAGGTGCTGCTGGTGCTGCTAGTCCATAGACTACATTTTGAGAATCACTCTTGTCTATTAACTGTAAATTGTAGAACTCTAGAAAAAACGTTTAATTTGCTCTGGGATAAGAAGCACACAAGTTATGGAGAAAATCATGAAAGATTCAACCCATGATCCCAGCCTAGTGTGGAATTCAGCTAATAAGCAGTACACAGTGAGGTAACATAATTATTGGTTTTCAAGATTGCAAAGCACAGTGTCAAGTGAGAAATTCAGTTTCATTTGCAAGGCTTAGAGAGGCCAGGTGATTCTAGAATAATGGGACTTGTATTTCTCTTAAACCAGTAGAGAGCTTCAAGTGCTTATTAAATTGAAAGCTCTGTGTTCTTCCTTATTTTCTATTTTATTTTATTTTATTTTACATCTTTTGAGATGGAGTCTTACTCTGTCGCCCAGGCTGAAGTCCAGTGGCATGAGCTTGGCTCACTGCAACCTCCGTCTCCTGGGTTCAAGTAATTCTCCTGCCTCAGCCTCCCAAATAGCTGGGATTACAGGCACCCACCACCACACCTGGCTAGTTTTTGTATTTTTAGTAAAGACAGGGTTTCGTCATGTTGGCCAGGTTGGTCTTGAACTCCTGACCGCAGACGATCCGCCCACCTCGGCCTCCCAAAGTGATGGCATTACAGCTGTGAGCCACCGCACCCAGCCCAAAAGCTTTGTGTTTTTAAAGATATCAGACAGATTTCTCATTTAAAAAACAAAAAATCTTAATAATGTAGGAGAATAAGAGAAATGTTCTTCCAAAAAAGAGAAATCATTGTGATTATTTTGTATTATTGGAATGTTGGTACTATAGTCTGCTTCATTAATCATCAAGCATTTTCCATTTTTCTAGGATCTGTATCTCAGTGAAGGTGATACTGGTAATTCTTGTACACTATTTGAAGATGAAAAATATAGGCCAAAATCATAGACTTTGCATAGAAGCTGGATAATGAAGACAGCTCTGGAGGAAAACATAGATACACACACACAGACACACGTATATATAAAGTATACACATGTATAGTTTTTTAAGTTTTTTTTTTACAGTTTGAAAGCTTTTAAAGCAAAAGCCAGCCGCTCCCCTCTCCGAGTGGGCAGCCCCTCCTCTCTCTCTGAGTGGGCAGGAACAGTAGCTGCATGGGCAGCTTTCCTTGTGATGCCACAGGTCCCTCTGGACACCCTGCTGCCTGGCCACACCTCCTTTCCCTTTCATCTTTCTCACTGACCAATGGGCTTGGAGCATTAAGGCCACGCCCCTCTTCTGAGTTCTAGTGGGGCCCTGGTTACGCCTCCTCTGGCTCAGTTGCACAGCGGCCTGGTAGGTGACTGGAGGCATTCAGCCGTGCTCACTGGGATTTCGCTGATGTGACCCCCAACCCCATCTCCCTCCGCACCCCATGATGTCAGAAAAAACACGACAGGGAAAATTCACCGCAGCCAAGAAAAAGGTAAAACGCACCAGGTCATAGCCCCCAACCCAGTCACAGATCCCCTCCGAGGACAAGACCATTGCCAGAGTCCAAACTACTCCTGAGGCATACCGGACTGAGCCCCCCAACACCAGCGACTCTGGGCTCCCCCCACCAAATTCTTGTCAGTCAGCCCAACCTCTTCAGCAAGAAGCCCAATCCCTCCCTTGCTGATCTTTACCCCAGGGTGACTTTTGGCTGGCAGCTTCTGGGGCTCCGAGCTCCAAACTCAGCCCTCACCTACTGCTGCCCCAAGCCCGACCTCCCTGAGCTCTTTGGGCCTCCGTCTCCCAGGACCTGGGTCCCCTAGCCCCAGGCAACACACTCACCCGTCGTCCCTGGGTGACTTTAGGCTGGTGACTCCCGGGGCTCCCTACTGCAGACTCTGCCCTCCCCTGCTGCCCCAAGCTCGACCTCCCTGGGCTCCTTCGGCTGGTGTCTCCAAGGACCTGGGTCTGAACCCTGTGTTTCCCTCCCCCATCGTGGAATTGGTGACTTGGGCATCACGCTGATGTGATCCCCTCTCCTGGGAGGAATGGAATGTGGTGATGTCACAGTCCCCCTAGGAACTGTCATTACTGCTGCAAGACCAACCTTTCATCTTACAACCCAATTCCCTAAGTTTTCTCACCCCGTTTCCTGTTCCTCTGGTCACAGCACAAATTTCCAGTTGGAAGGGGAATGGGGACTATGGGACCCAGGAACAAGAGGTTTCAGGCTGCCTTACTCGCTTCACATAGACATTGACAGTGGGAAAAGCCTGCACTTCCCCTGTGTGCTCAAAACGTTGACAGTATCTCTGGGTGGCCATGGGAGAACAGGTTTGGTTTGGTTTTCTCCCAGGCTTCTACTTTGCAGAGAGACCTTAACATTCTTTTCTGAGTTCTCCACAGTTCTGGGACCAGACTGCCCTTCAGTCAGTGGTCTCTGAAGTGAGATTTGCTCATCTTCAGTGGAGTAGATCTTGGGAAGCTGAACTACATAGCTTGAATGTTCCTCATATCATCTCTGGGGTACTTTGAGTGCCACAGGATGAATGTGGGACATCTTTCTGAAGCATCATTTTCCCTTGATTCTCTTCAGATCAAACATTAATGTACTTAGGGATGATAGTCACATAGGTTTCGAAGTATATACCAGACTTCTCTCTGAAATCAGGCTTGGGTTGTCCTCTTTCTGAAAAATTCCCAGATTTAAAAAAAAAGCTGCCTCCTGCCATGAGGACACATTGATATGCAAGTGTGAGAGGTACTGGTGCACTTCTTCACACTAACAGACATGTGAGGATGTATGACTCTAAACCATGCAGTTCCTGCCTGCTTCATGTTTACTGTTCTAACTCTGCCCCTGGTAGCTGCTGATTCATGGCAAAACCCCAGACGTTGGAGTCAGAAGACTGAGCTTAAGTTCCAGTATTGCCTTTTTCTTTTTTTTCTAACCATGATATCAATCCCTCTCAGTCACTAAATGATTGTGACATGTACAGTTTGTGGTGGCATTAAATCAGATGGTGTATAAGAGTATTTTGTCAAAACTGTGAAGGAGGAGGTGGCTATAGGGGCTGATAGTTCTCATGAGTGTCACTGCTCTTCTTTCCCACAGTTAAAAGAATATTGGAAGAGGAAGAGCCCTGGCGTTCCAGCAGGAGCTAACAGGAAAAAGAAAATCAATGGCAGTAGCCCTGACACAGCCGCTTTTGGTGGTTACCACTCACCTGCGGATGTGAGTCTTGGCTGGCCAGGCTCCTGGGGACAGGGGGCCCAAGGGGCAGTAGAGGATAATTGTTAAGATGTGGATGGACTGTTGGGTACTGGTTAAGAATTCTGGATTTGAATCCTGCCTCTCCATCTCCTAATGATTGATTAGAGATTAATTAGGATATGATTTAGGGCAAGTTGCTTGAGGTCTTCAGGCCTCTCTTTTCACATCTGTATAATAGAGGTGGTATTTTTTGACTTCCATTTATGAAGTTTAAATGAGATTTGTTATCGCTTTTATGTGAATCCTTAGTACATGGCCTGCTGTAAACACCCAGGACACTGAGGAAATGGTCATTGCTGTTTGATTTTCCTCATCCCCAGTCTCAAGGGGAAGCCAGGCCAAAGAGAAGAGCCACTTGCCATCAGGCTGTCCCTTTAGGAGTTACTGAAAGGACCCCAGGGTGGGATCGTGGGGAGATAAAAACCATGAGAGACGTTGGCACAAAGGAGTTATGGGACAAAGGGTGCAAGATAGGCAGAAAAGAAACTTTTGTCAGTTGATGGAGAAGAAAGGAAGTCAGAGGGCTTAGACACTGAGGGGGACAGAACATCTCCATGTGCACTCTCATCTCTTGTAGTCAGCAACAGGTGTCTACGGGGAGGGCCCTGTGTCATCTTCTACCCTGAAAGATCTAGAGGTAAGAGGCCCTGGGCCGAGGTTCAGTGACCCTGCAACCTCCTCCCACAGCAGGGGCTGGTTGCCCCTCTGCCAGCTGAGACAGCCCACACACACCCCTCCCCAGCCCTAATAACTGTTCTCTCCACCCCTCCCCGCAATCCTCCTCCAACTCGTCCTCTCTGCATGCACCTCAGAGCCAGTACCAAGAACTAGCAGGAGCCCCGGACTCAAAGCTCCACAATAATCAGTCAACTCAGTGGAAACATCCATTCACTGGGAAGAGTCTAGTGGCGTCCTCTGATTCCACGCTGCCAATCCTGTATTCGTTTCCCCTTGGGGCCCTGAGGAAAGGGGCTGGGGCCCCTGGTGCCAAGGGAAAATGGGGAGCTGGGGCACGAGGGCCTCACCTGGATGGACCCCAGAGCACAGACCGTGCAGCATGGCTCTTCTGCACTGCCCTCTTTGCTGACTCTCTCTTCTCCAGACACCCCTGCTCGAGTCCTTGCCACACACGCCCTGGGGTTCTTCCCTCTCAGGGAAGCACTAGCCTGTTTGTCAGGGGCCCGTATTTCTGTCCTGACTCAGTCCCTAATTTGCTTTTGAGTCTGGACAAGCCTTCTCTCCTCCTTGGGCTCCTGTTTCTGGAGGAGGTAGAGAGTGTCAAAGGTCTCTGTTCGCTCTGAGAGTCCAAGATTTAAAGGCCCCTAGAATGGAAACCTCAGGGCCAAGGGCTCCTGTCTGTCCTTTTCTGTGTTCTGTCTCCGCTGTGAAGAACACACCTGGCCTGTAGCTGCTCAGCACATGTTTGTTGAATGAACGCACCTTTCTAAATCACAAGCTGGCAGAACAGGGGGGCCTTCCTCAAACTCTGTCTCTAGAGGTTCACCAGCCCCTATCACCAGGGCCCTTTCGCCCTGTGCTTTGGGCAGGTTCCCACATTGAAGGAGGAGAAGAAGCGTGAGATACATCGGGTACAGAAGCTTGGGAGGAGCTTGTTCAAACTCAAACACCAGAGGGGTAAGATGGGGCTGGCGAGACCTGGGAGCAGGACCAGCATCAGAGGGCTGTGGGGGTGGCTTAGAATGCCCCAGGGAGGTGGGTGGATGGAAGGGCTTTGAGGCAGAGGGAGAGAGGTCTGTGCCAGGAGACTGCAAGCCTTGTCATCTGCTTGAGCCTTGGTGTCCCCATCAGCAAAGAGGGAGGAGTGCCCGTTGTCAGCCACCCACAGTGCTCTCCATTGAAAGTGGCTTGGAAGATTGGCTACCATCTGGGTGCGAGGGATCCTTAGCAGTGAGGCCAAGTTTGGGAAGCCTGAGAGGAGGAGCTCTGCACCAATGGGAGGTTTTTTTTTTTTTTTTTTTTTTTTTTTGTGAGAATCCAGAGGCCCTTATTGTCTGCTTCCTTTCTCAGCTGAACCCCGGGCCCCAGATCCCCCAGCAGGGCCCTCTGAGGTGGAGCAGCTGCAAGATGAGACCAAACACCTAAGGAAGGAGCTGGAGAGTCTGGGAAGACAGCTCCAGGCCGAGGTGGAAAACAATCAGATGTTGAATCTCCTGAACAGGAGACAGGAGGAGAGGCTGCAGGAGCAGGAGGAGAGGATACGTGAGCAGGAGGAGAGGCTATCTGGGCAGGAGGAGAGGATACGTGAGCAGGAGGAGAGGATACGTGAGCAGGAGGAGAGGATACATGAGCAGGAGGAGAGGCTATCTGGGCAGGAGGAGAGGATACGTGAGCAGGAGGAGAGGATACGTGAGCAGGAGGAGAGGATACGTGAGCAGGAGGAGAGGCTATCTGGGCAGGAGGAGAGGATACGTGAGCAGGAGGAGAGGATACGTGAGCAGGAGGAGAGGATACATGAGCAGGAGGAGAGGCTATGGGAGCAGGAGTGGCTGCCAGAGCAGGAGAGGCTGCTGGAGGAGGTGAAGAAGCTGTTGGAACAGGAGAGACGGGAGGAGGAGGAGGAGAAGCTGCTAGAGCATGAGAGGCTGCTGAACCAGGTAGAGAAGCTGCTGGAAGAGGAGAGGCTGCGGGAGGAGGAGAGGCTTCCAGAGCAGGAGAGGCTCTTGGAGCAGGTGGAGAAGCTATTGGAACAGGAGAGGTGGCAGGAGGAACAGGAGAGGCTGCTGGAGCAGGTGGAGGAACTGTTGGAACAGGAGAGGTTGCGGGAGCAGGATGAGAGACTGCGGGAGCAGGAGAGGCTGCTGGAGCAGGTGGAGAAGCTTTTGGAACGGGAGAGGCGACAGGAGGAGCAGAAGAGGCTGCTGGAGGAGGAGCAGCTGCTGGACCAAGTGGAGGAGATGCTGGAACAGGAGAGGCTGCGGGAGGAAGATCAGAGGCTGTGGGAGCAGGAGACACTGCGGGAGCTGGAGAGGATGCTGGAGCTGGGGTGGGAAGCCCTCTACGAGCAGCAGGCGGAGCCACACAGCAGCTTCGAGGAGCTGGTGGGTTCCCCCACCTGGGGAGTCTGCCCTCTTCCCTAGCCCTCCAGGCCTTTGTTTCCCCACCTGTAAAATGGGGCATTGTAGCCCTCACATGAAATGGTACTTCTAAAGGCACCTGTGAGCCAGAGCCCTGCTCTGATGGCTGTGGGAGAGAGGGGATGATTTTTCTTACCTGCCTCCACCCTTCCTGGTGCTATGGGAGGCAGACACCAAGTTCTGGGGTCTCCAGCTATAGTGGGTGGCCAATGATTGCTTCTCTCTGTCCAGAACAATGAGAACAAGAGCGCACTGCAGTTGGAGCCGCAAGTAAAGGAGTTGAAGATGCTGGGCGAGCTGAAAGACACGGTAACCTCTGACCCATCCAAGAAGGGCTGGGAGGCGGGCACCAGCCTCTGGGGAAGGGAGGTGCCAGGCCAGAGGCAGCTGCAGCCTGCGAGCAGGTGACCCCGGGGCAGTCCTATTACTGTTTCTTGCATCTTCCCCTCTGAGTTTTAGAGGTGGGGAGCCCTGGGCTCCCCCCAGGTCTGGATATCATCATCCCAGCTAGAGCCATGGAGCCCCCAGTCACAGTGGAAGAGACAGTGGTATAAGAGGCTCCTTATGTTGGGTGTGGTGGCTAACGCCTGTAGTCCCACCACTTTGGGAGGCTGAGGCAGGAGAATCACTTGAGGTCAGGAGTTTGAGACCAGCCTGGCTGACAAGGCAAAACCTCATCTCTACTAAAATTTCAAAAAAAAAACATAATTACCTAGGCTTGGTGGTGCATGCCTGTCATCCCAGCTACTCAGGAGGCTGAGACACGAGAATCATTTGAGCCTGGGAGGTAGAGGTTGCAGTGAGCTGAGATCGCACCACTGGACTCCAGCCCGGGACACAGAGTGACACTGTCTCAAAACAAAACAAAACACAAAAACCAAAAAGTTCCTTAGATTCAAACTGGTTTCTGGACTCAGTTCTACTGGTTATCATTCAACTACTTTGCATTTCTAAGTCTCTGTTTCTTTAACTTCAAAAGGAAGTTAGCATTTTCTTTGCAGAGGTGCTGAGGATTACATGAGATAACACACGGAAAGAGTAGGCATGTAGTAGACTTAGCAGATGGTGGTTGGCTCCCCCTGTTTTCCACCAGTCTGTGGCCTACAGTTTAAATGATAGGGAAAAACATGTGAGATTTGAGGCTGGGGAAGGATGCACTGGGTTCCAGGCAAAGGTGGCAGTCTCTTAGGCCTGGAGCAAGGGACCAGGGGCCTGGGCAGGCCACAGAGCACCACAGTGCCCTTGCTACCCTATTAATGGGCCAGGAATCCGGAAGCCAGCTAGTAAATGCCCTCATGCCCAGGGTCTTCCTGCAGGTGAAGCTGAAGAGCCAAGAGGCTCAGAGTCTGCAGCAGCAGGGAGACCAGTACCTGTGTCACCTGCAGCAGTATGTGGTCGCTTAGCAGCAGCTGACCTCTGAGAAGGAGGTGCTGCACAGGCAGTTACTGCTGCAGACCCAGCTCATGCACCAGCTGCAGCAGCAGGAAGCTCAAGGCAAAGTGGTAGCTAAGATGGCCCACCAAAAGTTGCAGGAGACCCCGGGGAGGGAGTTGCTGAGGACAGGGCCCCGAGAAGGACAACCTGGCAACCTCCGTGCCTTCTCACCCTCTTTCCTGGCCTCTTAGGAGCACCTGGAAGCTACCAGCCAGCAGAAACAGCAGTTAAAGCCAGGTTGAGCCTCATGGTTCTCCCTGGGGAAGGTACGGGAGACCACACGGAGGAAGAGGCGAGAGCCCCAGGAGGAAAGGGGAACTGTTAGCAGCATAGGATTGAGGAGTTAGAAGAGACCTTTAAGACAGCTGATCATTATGCCGACCGGGTGTCCACGCTAAGTTCGGTATCAATATGGTGACCTCCTGGGAGCAGGAGGCCATCAGGTTGCCTAAGGATGGGAGAACTGGCCCAGGTCAGAAAGGGAGCAGGTCAGGACTCCCGCACCAATCGGTAGTGGGACTGTGCCTGGGCAGTATAGCAAGATCTTGGTTCTTAAAAGTAATAATACAGAACAGCTCATTCCCCTCTGGGAATGGGCTGGCTCAGGGCTACACAGTGAGGGTGGGGGCAGAGGTGGACCCCCAGTACTTCCCTTGTTGGGTTGTCTGAGGACCCTTCTGGCCACTCCCTAGAAGAGATGGAGGAGGACATCTGGACAGTGAGGAGGAGGAGGCACCTCAGCCCATGCAGAACATCCCAGAGAACCGGGAGAGCTGGGAGGTCAGGTAAGCCTGACTTTCCCTGCCCCTACTTTGTCACCTTCCCCGGTGGTCCCTCCCAGATCCCCTTATGTTCTTGGTTTCCCTGCCTTCTGATTTCTGTGGACTTTCACTCCTTCCGGGAGCCAGTGGTCAAACACCATTTCACCTGTGACCAACAGGTGCACACTCTGAGCCTCAAGGGAAGGGGCTGCGCTCCACCTCCTTGCCCTGGTGGTTCTGTGTATGTCCCTACAAGAATAGTCACCTCTTGCCTTCAGGTGGCATTTCTGAACGACGCTGGAGCCAATGCCCAGGAATACCAAAGGGTGTGCTGCCAGCCCCTGGTTCACCCGGTGGCTGCATCCCAGAGGACCCCAGGGACTGGGGGTGAGTCTGTGTGTGGGGAGACCCACCGAGCCCTGCAGGGGGCCACGAACGGCGTGGGTGGGGCAAGGCAGGTGGTTCCTGAGATGTGACCACATTATTTTGGCTTCAGGACGACTTTATGGAGGAGAAAGTGGACATGAAGGAGCATATGGAGAAACTAGAGCTTTCACTTCACTTTTACCTGACACATATAAATGACTAGGAATGACCTTCAGATAGTGTTTAGCATCTGTAACCTATCTGGCAATAATGTGTTCATCAGGGACCTCTGGATTAAATCACATACTGGCATATTTAAGCTGAATGTCAGTCTGAAAAATAAATGTGCTATATTACCTGAAATACCACTCTTTGTGTAGGAATTTTGTCATATGTTTAAGAAAAAGCTAAAAAGAATGGAAATCCTGTGACAATAACTTAAGTCTTTCTTCAAAGTGCATGCAGTCATTTGCAATACCTCATTCAGCCAAGTATTTGTTCTCTTCCTCATTCAGTATAAGGCAGCTTTCAATTTGCTTAGAAGGCAACATTAGAAGGTTAGAGTTCAGCAGAAACAGAATTTTAAAATGTGAGTTCAAACTGAATAAATGTGAACTTCTGTAGGAAGTGAAGAATCAAAATATCAATTTAAAGACTGCAATATATGATAATTATTTTTAAAGTCTTTGATTAAACCTGATACGTTTCTCTGAAATGAAAAAAATCAGTTCTAAAACAAAGCTGAGTTTTATAAATCATGAAAATGTAAATCAGCCCTATCCATAATACTTTCTCTAAAACTTTATCTTACAGTCACTTTCAAATAACTATTCAAAAACATAACTGCTATAATAATATCTTGAAATAAGTTAAAACATTTTAAAATACGAACACTGTAGTGTAAAACAAAGAATCTAGGGAAAGGAAAAGTAGAGAGAGAAATGCCAATTCCAGTCCAAAGCTTTATTTGCCAAGTTTTCTTGGCAAATAATTTTACCAACTTATGATTTTTTGTAAACAGAATGTATAATGGAAATACTGACTTTTGTCTAAAGTGGCATTATTGACCTCTGTGATGCTACTATAATGTAATAAATTAGGAAATTGTTGCAAGGTGTGTGTCTTGAAAACTATAGTATTAAAAGTATTGAGACTGTGCAAATGTTGGGCACGCTTGTCATGAGATAACCGGTTTTTATTCTCACAAAATTGTAACTGTGTAAGTGTGTTTATTAAAAGAACATAAACTAAAAAAGTTACAGGAATTAAAAGTTGTGGGATGGAAAAGTTATGGGATAAATAATATGGTGGAAAAATTGTGGCAACAAGTCCAAAAAAAGTAAAAAAAAAAAAAAAAAGTTGCATGAAAGGTTTTTTAAAAAAGTTATGAGAAGTAGTTATGGGAAAAAGTCATGGAATAAAAATAAATAAAAGCAGGCCCCTGTCAGCATAAGCCTGGAGAAATGGGTCTGGAGTCTTCACCCCCACCATGTCCCTACAACCCCTTCCCAGTCACCTTTTTACCATTAGGTAGCAAGACAAGACGCCTGACTAATGGAGAGAGAAAAACAGACCCTTTACCACCTTGACCAAGGCTGAGTCCTTACATTTCTGGATGATGATGTTTGTTATTTAAGAGCCAGAGGTTGATAGATTTGGTTTGTTTGCAGGAGGTGCGATGGCCTCCTTACTCTCACCAAGGCAACTTTTCTCTCGGGGGCGCTCCCATCTTCTTATTCAGAGAGGCATCTGAGGCGGGACAGTGGAGCTAACTGTAGACCAGGCGAGGGCACAGGCTGCTAGGGGTGACCCGCCCTTCCCCCATGTATATACTGTATCTGTGTAACATTCTGTATGTATCGTACCTAGCGGAGGTTGCAACTGGCATATGAGGAAGAGGTTCTGATAGTTATTTGCAGCTGGGAAACTTATTTATTGCTAGCATAGGAGCGAGGAAGGAGGCGGGGATGGAGTCATGGCTCCCCGGTGATGGGACTCCTGTTTTCTTTGCTTTTTATTTGGGAATAAATGGATTTAGCTATACTGCTCAGCCTGGTATGTTCCCGTTTCCCTCAGTGGGTCCTGCAGTTTGTCCCATTGAAAGACGAGCCCCAGAGTGTCTGAGCATGTCCAGTTGGGCTGTTGGGAATCTTCCAGGCCTGTTGCCTGGATGCTGCCTGGTGACACCTGGTGGATTTCAACGGGACTGCCATGGTGCCTAATGGGCACAGTGCAGCCCTGACAGCCAACAGGTTCAGAAGACTGATCTAGCTGTGGCCGGGAAGAAAACACCAGCACCCGAGGGCACTGACTTTCACCCACCCCAGGTGTCTTCCATTCCGTCCCCCTGCCTCCCTCTCCTGTCTGCACCGGGTGGCCTGTCTGTCCCTCCAGAGTGCAGGCTGCCCCGCAGCCTCCCTCCAGATTGAGTTCACGGCCCTGCCCCCTAGTGGCCAGATCCGGCTTCACAGGATAAGAACCAGCTAAGCTCCAGGGACTTTCTAGGAAAAGAGTCCCTTGGAAACGGTGTGACCTTTTCACCGCTCCCAACAGCACCCTAAAAATGGCTTGGACTTTTCCCTCCCCTGAGCTCCACAGAGAGCACAGCCAGCAGAGGACACATTCTCTGTCATCCAGAAATGGGTTGGAGTCTCAGCCGAGGGACAGCAGGACAGGACTGGTAGAGACTGTCAGTCCACACAGCTGCCTGCACAGCACCCCCATGATTGCCCAGAAGGCGGGAAGGATGGCGGGGGCAGGCTGTCCACAGGCCGGGCATGACAGGGAGAATCCCTGGTGCCCTTTTGAGGGGCAATGTCAGGAGACAGCTTCCTCTTGTTGGGCCACAAGACTCCGCAAGGACAGCACGAGGACTGATTCCCAGTGCTAGAGGCCAGGCAGTTGGCCACGTGTGTGTGTGTGTGTGTGTGTGTGTGTGTGTGTGTGTGCGCGTGTGTGTGTGTGTATGAGAATTTATAGCTATTTATAGAACAGGGCAGGGGCATACCACAGAGGGGGCACAAGTTTTCAGCAATGGTCACAGCTGGATGTGCCAGCTCACCACTACAACAGACTAAGTCACAGATGAAGGGGGCTGGCTTTAGGGCTGCTGGAGCCACTGTCAAGTCACAGGACACCCACCCAGGCAGGCTTGGAAAGGGAGGTCTCTGAGAAGAGGAGGATCTGTTCATCACTTCAGAGGTCAAAGTGGGACCTGGGGCTCTCAGGATGGGATGGACTTGCCTGACCCAATCAGCTGGCATTGGAGAGAGCGCAGAGAGAAAACAGGTTAGAGAAAAGCCAGAGCTGGTGAGGCAAGGGCAGAGCATGGGTGCACCGTAGCAGCTGTGAGAGGGCTGGAAAGGGGAGGGTGTAAGTGTGGGCATGGCAAGGTTCCTGGAAAAGAGAGGCTGGAAGGGAAAGGGGAGGAAGATGGAGGAGAAGCCAGAGCTTCGTAGGTAGTGCCCGGGGGCTGTGGCGGCCCTCCCCACCCCACACACGCTGACCTCTCTCATGGCACCCAGGCAGTCCACCCACAGTTCAGACCAATGCCAGACCCCAGGACTTCCCTCTTCTCTGGTCACCCTGTCTTCCAACCCACTGGCCCAGGGCCACCTCTTGCTTGGGGAGCCCCACCCAACAGCCACCAGGCCTGATAGAGAAGGAACACTGCTTGAAACAAAATGGTGAAACTATAAGGGGATGGCTGGCTGAAGTGAGCGCCAGAGGCCCCTCTGGGTAGTCAGAAAGCCCAGTGTCCTCTGAGGGACCCTGGGGAAGGCAAGGAGGACAGGTAGCCGGATGCCACTGGACATAGACTTATAAGTCTAAGAGGGGAGCCTCAACTGGTAGGCAGGGGGCTGCAGGTTGCATAGGTGAGGCTGGGCCCATCCTGCTCAGAAAAGCAGAAGAGGGAGAGTCCGTGGCAGGACAGGCAGGTGGGCTCGCTAGACGGAGCTCGGCTGGGCCAGGAGGCACTGTGGTCTCCTTGGTTGAATAGCACAGGCGACCCCTAGGAGCAACAGGCCAAGGTGAGTGAGCCTGCTGGTCGGCGGTAGTGCTTCAGCGGGGGCCAGGGACCCTGCCTTCAGTCCACACGAGCAGCTATGATGGTACCTGGGAGGGAGGGAAGGGGGCTGTGTGTCCCTGCCTGGTCTGTGAAGTGTGTTGTGGGATGACCGTGTGTATGGGACTCTCAGGCTTTTATCCTCGATCACCACTAGATTGCTGACAGATAGAGGACATGGGATCCTATCACCCTTAATCTGCAGTGGATTTGGCTCTCGGCACTCCCAGGCTGGGAGCTGGATACCTGCCCTGGCAGCATGACTCAGACTGCATGACAGGTACAGCGTGCCCAGGATGATGTGCCTAGGCCTCTGGCGGCCTCAGAGTCCAGCACTACACACAACCCGCTCCAAGTTCCCAGCCCCTACACCATAAACCATGAGCTCTGTGTCCTCTCTGATGGTTCCATGTCTGCCAGTTTGGGCATGGAGCCTGTTCTAAGAGCCGCCAGGCTCAGCCATGGGGACCTTGAGCAGTGGCACTGAGTCCCATGGCTCACAGGGAGGGAAGTGAGACAGCCAGCAGCACAAGGACAGAAAGAGGAAAGAGCAAGTCTGCAGCTCCAGAAGGGAGGGGCAGGGAGCCTGGTTCTGAGGTCCCAGGTGTGCCCCCCGTGTGGAGCTGGGGCAGCGGGGTGGGCAGACCTTTCGTGCAGCAGGCAGCAAAGCATGTACCTACCATGGCTGACGCTCCTCAGGGAACACCGATAATGATTCTGAAAGACAGCATCAAATCACATGGCAGGTCACACGCATGGGTGGGGCAGGCCTGAGGGTGGGGGACACACAGGCACATGCCGGAGTGTGCACACACACACTGAGGCCTCACGGCCTGCATGCACACGCTAACACACATGCCCACAAACAACACGCATACGCCGCCTTCCCCGCCACCTCCAGGTGCCCAGCACCCTCACCGGCCCGCATGTGCCGCATGGATCTGGGACATGCAGCCACACAGCACACTGAAGCACATGCGTGGGCAGAGTCACAACACAGATGCTCGCCCGCACACAGAGGCATTTGCACCAGCTCCCTGCACACTCGTGCCTGGTGTGCTCAGAGGAACACCCATGCTGCTCATGGAGACGGGGCTTGCTCACTAATGTCCAGCTGTCATTTCTCCACCTAAGAGCCTTCCATGGCTCCCTACTGCCTACAGCACTGAACCCCAACAAGTCATACTCTTCAGACATTGAAGGTTCTCCACCGTATGCCCCACCTTCCCCACAGAGCTCTTCCTCATTCTGTCTGTGTTCCCTGCTTTGGCCGGGGGCTATCCTCGATGCGACCCACACTACACCTCTGCCCATGGCAGCTTTTTACCCAGTTATCCTCCAATTCCTCACCACATAAGCCTATCTCAGTCATGCCCCGGACTGCATTGAAGCCAGCCTGCCTTGAAGAAGCTCTCCCAGAATGCCCTTTTCCCCAAGGCAGGGTCAGGATTTGTCAAATGTTTAGCGTGTGTTAGCAAGACCGGAGTCGGAGCAGGCATCAAACCTTACATCCCACATGCCACACCTCACCACACACCTGGGTGCCAAATAGCTTGAAGAGTCTGAACTCACGTTGGCCGTTAGCAAAGGGCTCCTATGGCTGCATCTGCAGTTAACATAGCATCCCTATGGCCACTGCCTCCCTGGATCTCCACAGCCATCCTAGGAGAAAGGCAGAACATCATCATTTGATAGAAGGGATACTGAAGCTCTGGGAGGAAAAGGGACTTGCCTAAAGCCCCAGGATGAAGCAGCAAATCTGGACTCTCACAGACAGCCTAGAGCTGCCGGCATTTCCTTACAATCTGCGCCCTCGGGTCTGACTTAATTTTTTCCTCTCCAAAGGGCCACGTGTAGGGCCAGAGGTTGGCAAAGCCTGACTCATTTCTGGATGCCAGTTCCTTTGCCTGACTTTCAGTGATTCCTACCTTACCCTGGGTTTTGTGTTTCTTGTCTCAACACTATCATTTCTCATTCCTCCACAAGTTGAACTGCTCACTCCAGCCACCTGAAGCATGCTCTTCTTGACACAGTTAACTCTAGGCACATGGTTGGTACTTAAAAGAAAAAAAGAGCATTATGTCAATTTCATTGATTAACAAAACTGATGGTTCCACTACAAAGTAAAGTAGATACTGCCTGGGCCTCTGAGTTCAACAGCCTTTTAGACAAATGGCTCTGAGCTAAAACATGAGCATGCATGTATATGTATCTGTCTCGGTCTGATGACATAATCTGGATGCTTAGTTGTTATCCTTGAGCATTTTCCTGCCTCATTAATGCATGTGTAGCCAGCACAACAATAATGTGCTAATAATGGCTAAAGCTGAGGGCTTTCCTGAGCCAGGCAGTGGCTTGAAACACTTTAAAGTGGCCTTTAAAACTTTAACCCCTAAAGCTGAGGACTTTCCTGAGCCAGATAGTGGCTGTAAAAACTAAAGTTTTTACATAGACTCTCACTGAATAATTTCTGTTTTTCAGATCAAGAAACTGAGACTATCACATTTGGGATTAAGTTAAAAAAAAAAATTAACAAATTGAGGCTTAAAGCTGTCAAGTATTTCACAGCCAGCAAGTGGCTAAATCAGAACTTGAACCCAGGCAGTCTAGCCCTGGGATCCTGTGCCCTTACCCAGTATCCAGTGTTGGCTACACAAAACTCATGAGTACATGTTTTCAACTATAGTTTAAGTGGGTGACATATTTTTCACTATATTTTATGTAGGTGACTTTCAGTTAGGGGGTATTCTACTTACACAATCTATTCAGCTGGATATTAACGGAGAACAAACAAAAACTAATGAACTCTGAAAAACATAAAAGGTGAGCAACATGATGTCACTGAGAAAGACAAAACAGCCCATAGTCTTTTGGTGACTGTTCTTTGCTGACAGTCCATGAGTTAATACTCAAGCCAAACTCAGCACTGCTGTTCCCTTGGGAGACAGACACAGACAGACAGACAGACACACACACACACACACACACACAAGTTGGTTTTGTGCCCCGCCCCCCCTCAACACACACCGGAGTTGGTGGTTGTGCTGCCCAGAGCCTCCAGTCCATGAGTGAGGAACGGACCACATGGGTCCAGCAGTGCTGGGTCAAGGCAAGGAGGGGGCAGCCGGAAGCGCGCACATGCTCTGGTCTCGTTGCACCAGCCGAAATGGGTGTGCACGGGGCGCGCAGGGATGAGGGGTGAGGGGTGAGAGGGACAGGGCGGGATGGTGACAGCCTTTCCCAGGCGGTAACATCATCATTTGATAGAAAGGATACTGAGGCTCTGGGAGGGAAAGGGACTTGCCTAAAGCCCCAGGGGGAAGCATCTCTGGACTCCCAGTCCAGTGTTCTTGCCCAGTACTCTGCTGCTTGCCTTTATCCATGTAACTTGGTCAACAGCACGTCATAGGGCAAGTCCCAATCCCTACTTTGCTTTTGTATATGGGCGCTGGACCCACAGCCCCACTCTCCAGCCATTTGGACACAAAAACAGATGCTATTGTTCTACCTTAGAGAACATGGCCAGTGGAAACAGGGCACACTGGAAATCAGAGTGAATGTCCTTGAAAGAGGGTCATGGGTCAACAAGGCCAAGCCAAAGGTTGCAGTAGAACGCTCTTCCTTAGAAATCTTTGGGAGTGAAGTAGGACTCAGTCACTCCCATCCCTGCCCCTGCAGCTGCCACTACCCCATTAGTTTGGACAGGGTCAGGGGGTGGGGGGAGATGCGGAGAAAAAATCAGACTGCCTGTGGCCCCTGGGCTCCTTCCCCAGTTGCTTCTGTCCTAGCTCAGGCCTGGGTGCCACTCTTACACTCTCACACTCGTGTGCTCACCCGTACACACATCACATCACACATCTTGTTGGTCACACAGTCACAGCCTGGCCTCTGCTCCCGTGGTCAAGTGGCCAGATACCCCCAGGGATGGCTCAAAGGAGTCAGGACTTGGATGTGGGGACATCAGGGTAGCAGAAGGAAATCTACACACCCAGAGCATCTCGGGGTTCAGACTCTCAGACCTGAGCTAGGTTTCCCAGGGAGGAGTTGCACAGAATGGAGAATGGAGGAGGGCGAGAAGAAAGGATGAGGGATGCAACGTGGGGGCAGCCGCCAAGAGTGAAAATAGAGGGAAGTGCCACCTAAGTGCTGGAAAGAAGGGGGCAGGTGGGAGGAGCCCCACAGCCCTCTCCGCAAAAACGACTACCTCCAGGACTCAGCCCTCCCTGGGGGACAGGCTCCGCCAGCCCTCGGCCATACGTGACCCGGCAGCCACGGTCCGTTTCTTGGATGGTGACGGCCAGTTCTTGCCGCCAGGTCCGATGATCTGGAATCCAGTCCCATTTCCTTCCCGGCCACACCCCTCCAGCGGCCTCTTTGGCTGCTTTCAGCTCCTACTTACTTGGTGATCCCTAGTGGGGCATGAGAGCACCTGGCGAGTAGGGCCGAAGGGATCAGGGGAAGCCTCTGGTCTGGAGGATACGGGGTGGCACTTCCCCAAGGGCGCACCCAGCAGCAGGAAGCCCAGAAGCCGGGCCCGCAACCCAGGCTGGGCTGGGGACATGGCGGGGGCTGGGCATCCCGGGGCTGGACTTGGGCGACCTGCAAGGCGACAGGCAGCAAGGCACAGGGACAGGAGACATAGGCGGTTCCGCCCCCTGAGGCGCCGCCCCAGCCCAGTGCCGGCCACGCCCATGCACGGAAGCTCCTCCCTGCCACGCTCTGATGTGGTCGCCAGAGTTTAAGCCCCGCCCCAGCAGCACCAACAGCCCAGCTCCACCCCGCCCCGCAGCCAGTGCTCCTCGGCAAGCTCCGCCCCTCACTCCAGGTAGCAGCCACCCTGGTGAGGGACCACGCCACTGCCCCCTTGGCACTCCTCTGGGCGGCCCAGGCTGGGGGACTTTGGGACCGTGGGGCCGGCCCTGGTCTCTGCGTTCGTCCGGGAGGCTCTGCACCTGCAGCCAGGAGTCGTCCACATGCAGGCTTAGGGGCAGGCTGATGGTGGTCATGTTGATGTCCCTGATGATGGTGAGTACCTCCTTCAGCATGTGGTGCATGCGCAGCATCTCGTCGCGCCGCTGTGCCTCTTCTGCCAACTGCTCCACCAGTGTGTTCTGGGCCCCACATGAGTACAGACTGGCCAGCAGCTCCAATATGAACTCCGTGGTCTGAGAGTGGGCAATCGGTGAAGAAGGTCGGGACCTGATGCCTGTGCGGCACTGGCTGCCGTGCTGGGCCCTGCTGGGACAGTGTGTTGGACTTGGAGCCCCTTGTAGTATGGCTTTTCACACCGGCTTCTACACCACTTCAACTGGAAGATCCACCTCCCCACTGCCTTTTCTCACTCAGATGGGGACACCGAAGTCCAGAGGAAAAGACACCTGTCCCACGTTACTGATCTGGGAGGGGACTCAGGACCTATCATGCCAATAGGAAACTTGTCTTTTCAGTTGTTGTTTTGTTTGGCCGGGGTGGGGGTGGTGATAGGGTCTCGCTCTGTCACCAGGCTGGAGTACAGTGATCACTGCTCACTGCAGCCTCAACCTCCTGGGATCAAAGTGATCCTCCCATGTCAGCCTCTCGAGTAGCTCGGACTACAGTCACGTGCCACCACCAAGCCCAGCTATTTTTAAAATTTTTGTGTAGAGACAAGGTCTCACTATGTTGCCGAGGATGGTATGGAACTCCTGGGCTCAAGTGATCCTCCCACCTCCGCCTCCAGGAGTGGGAGTTGGAGCTGATGCCTGGATACGGGAGCTCTGTGGGTGGGAGTGAAACAAAACACAGGGTCCTGAGCTCTGGGGAGCAAGCAGTGTCCTCTGGTGAAGGAAATCCTGGACTGGCAGGCAGAAGTTGTGCCTCTTACCGGCCATGTGCTCTGAATACAGTTACCTGCCCTCCATGAGCTTCAGTTTCCTTATCTGAAAAGTGGGGACACCTGACCCTTTCCTGCCCAGTTCAGTGTTGTGGCACAGGGCTGCTGTTAAAACAAGACTCAGTCCTGGCCTCCTCCCCGAGTGGGCCAGGTAGCCCATGTAGCCTCTTCCAGGCTTTCCTGGGTGACACTGCCAGCCTGGCCCCCTGGTGCCCATTCAATCTGGTCCTTCATATTGCTGGAGAACGGGGAAGCTCTGAGTAACATGAGACTATAGAGTGCGAGACGGTTGCTGATGGTCTGGTCCCGTCCCTTCCTCATTCCTGGGCATTCCTGACAAAGGCTCCCAACAACTGCTAAGCAGCAGCTGTAGACAGCAGCCCAATGAATATCTCATTGTGGGGAGGGGGCCATAGCAGGAGTGGGGCTCCAGGGAAATACAGAACCCAGGCCTGAGAGGTGCTGATGTGACAGACCCAAGAAACCTCAGCTTTGCACTTGCTGGATACCATCTGCACCTCTCAGGAGGGAGAATGCCAGGCTCAGGAGGTCCTTGCCCAAGCAAGGGAGCTTAGAAAGGGGGCTAGGGGTGGGCTCTGCCATTTTCAAGGGCTGGCAGGGGGGCCCCTCTGGAGGTACTTGGAGCAGTACCGCATGCCATGGCTTCTGAGTGACAGAGTCAGCTCTGCACCCCACAAGACTGTTCCCTATCCAGAACTCACTGTGATCATGTGCTGGGTTCAGATGCCCACACAGTCTCCTGGTGGGAGCACCAGGTGTGATAACTGTAGGCCCAGGACGGCCTACAAAAGAGTCTGCCCTGCTCTGCCTTGCTATGGAACAACTCCTGTTCTGCCTTTGGGGAGAGGTGTTCATTTAAACGATGACTGGGCTGGCCCCCATGGCACAGCTACTACACAGAGTCTGCTGCTATCCATGGCTGAGAGCTCCAGTTCTTCTCTGAAGCCACCAGGATGGATGAATGGCAGCTTCATCCTCTTGGCCGACTCAGTTGCCTTTCATCAGCTCATCTGCTCCTAGGATCCACTCTGCCTCTGGCTGGCACCTGATCTGAATCCCAGGCTCACACCTCTGCCCACAGGCCCAGCAGCTGCTTCACCTTCAACTCCCTCCTCCACCAAGCACTGTCGCTCACCAGCTACTGGGGTGCCACTAGTACACCTACATGGTGCTCCCTCTCCAGACCCTCGGGTCCAGCTGTAGCTTCCTTTTGGAAGCCACACCCCAAGACCCCAGCCCTGCTCTAGGGCCCTGTATCCCCAACTTCCCGCATCCTTCTCCCTCATTCTGGGAAGATGAACTTGCCCTGCCAGCCAGATAGCTCCTGTAGGGCAGGACACCAGGGCCTGGACCATGGTAGGCCTGGCAGTGTCTGCTGACAGTGATGCTGGAGCTGGTGCCCATGTCCACATGACGTCCATGGCACAGCGGCCACCTGAGGCTGGGGGCATCTGAGCGGTGGCTGCAGAGTGGGGCCCTTACCTCTGGCTGAGTGAAGTTCACCAGGTCCTCCCCTGTGCTGTCATGCTGGGCATGGAAGAGCTGACCTAGCTGGGGGCCCCGCACCACACAGTAAGAGCAGAAGCTGGAGGTTGGTGCCTGCACTGGAGCTGGCTCTGAGGCTCTGGCTGCTGAGTGGCTGGACGGACCCTGCCAGAGGCAAAAGGGGCCATCAGCCTTTGTGATCCAGGCCCAGGCCTGTGGCTGCAGAGAGGCAGCGTGACCCTGGCATCCCACTCTCAGCTCTGCCCTAGCCCCCAGCACCCAGGAATGCCCACAATCAGCACACCCACCAAGACAGACAGTGTCCGGCTGCCCTCCAGCGAGAGGAGCACTTGCTTCTGGGCCGTCACTCAGAAGTGTCTAGAGGAAGTGTGCTCACCGTCAGAGAGGCCAAAGTGGATGCCTCCGTCCAGGGCTTCTGGCGACAGGGGCATTGCGTCTGACTGACCTGAGCTGGCTCCCCACCTCGGGGTGCTCCTGTGGGCAGCAGGAACCCGGGGCTTGGCCCTCAGCGCCCACCTCTGTGTGAGAACAGCACAAGCCTGCCGTCCAGCTGGGCCTGCGTGAAGCTGCACACCTCGGTGCCTGGCACCGCCCACAGCACTACCCGCCCATTGCTGGGCTGCTCAATGGTCCAGACCAGGTCCTTGGGCCCAGAGTAACCATCCATGCTCCTCAGAGCCTCTGTTGGGATGGGCACAGTGGCCTCCTCCCACATCTGGGGACACAGGCCTGTGAAGGTTCTGCCCTGCCATGCTCACCCACCCCTTCCTCCCCGGCCCTAGGCTGCCCTGCAGCTCAGGTCCTCAAGTGCCATCGAGTTTGGCTCTGCTCTGGCTCCCCTGCACAAAAGGACCTCCCCGCATTCACCTTCCCTGTCACCCCAGGGAAGGCCACCCTCCAGGGCCAGCCTCCCTGCTCTTCATCTGCCCTAGTCCTGTGTGTCCCTCAAGACTAGCTTGTGTCCCCTACCCAGGAAGGCCCCAGTTCTTACCCTCAGCAAGTTCTCACCCCCAGAAACCCCCAACGCTGACCAACAGTGCTCCTTAATCTGTCTCATTCGTGGGACAGGGGTCTCCTTTCAGACCCTCCATGTGTGCCTGGAAGGGGCTGGGCATAGGTGGGAATGGTGATTTAGAAATGGGCCCTCCTTCCAGCTGACGGAGGGGTGGGAGGCACGGAGAGTTGGGGCCTGATGGTTGGTACCGTCCTGCAGCACAGAAGCAGTGCTGGGATGGGCCCAGGGGCTTCCAGAGCAGTTACGGGCCCTCCTCGTGTTGGGCAAAGGGGACCCCTTTCCAGGCCTCCCACTTGCAAGCAGAGCAGGCGCCTGTTCCTGAGGTCCTGGTACCAGTCTTGCTGGGTCAATTACTTGCGGGCAGTGCTACAGGGGGACTCACATGCCCGGAAAACAGCCCTCTGCCATTCCTGGGCTTCCTCCCCTGGCCCCAGGGAGCCCTGAGGCCAAGCCTTGGCAGGAGGGGCCATAGTGTCAGGGGCAGGGCCCCATCTCTGGGCTCCCGGAGCAAACACAGGGGGATGGTCCCACCTGGTGGCCACACTGCCACACAGCCATCCCACCCTGTGGTTCCACAACACTGTGTACCACTCTTCTGTGGCCTCCACACCACGAGGCCACCCCCTACAGGCACATCCTAGACCACCAAAGCCCCCCGCGGTGTCTCATGTCAGAGACAGCCCAAGTCAGCCCTCTTGTGGAACCTTCAGTGACTCCTGCTGACTGGGGAGGACGCACCCCAGAAGCTGGCGTTCAAAGCCCTGCCATGTGGGCTTAGTAAAGCCGTGCCCTTTCTGTTCCACCAGAACTACTTCTGCAACCATGGAGAAGTCCCATCCCATGTCTGGGCCTCAACTTCCACCTCTGCCAAATGGGGGCCCTGCTCTGCTGTGGCACAAGGGCAGGAGTTTGGGGAGCCAAGCCGTGGCCTTCACGTGCTGGGGTGAAGGTGGGAAGCTTAATGGTCCCACCCTGACGTCTGCCCTTAAGGGCTTGTAAGTGATTCTGTCAGGTGTTCTGGTCCTAAGCCACAGGAAAAGGAACAGCAGAGCCACCCGTCGCTGCTCAGAAGTCCGCCTACAGTATTGCAAACGTCCAGTAACAAAACCTCCCACCAGTGTTCTATTTCAGCACAATCTCACATCTCTCCTTCCAACTGCGTGAGGCACACGGTAGTGGCCACATTTTGCAGAGGAGGATACTGAGGCTCAGAATGGGGGAGATCTGCGGTAGGAAGTAGGGGACGCTGGCCTCTAGGCAGGATGGTGACAGTGAAGGCCACAGGATGGCTCTGGCGGTCCATCTCCGAGACATTAGCCATCAGGACAAAACTGTCTGTCAGTGTCTCGCTCCCCTCGTGCACATAGCAGATCAGCTGCTCTTCCACCGAGGGGCAGGCCCAGGGCTGGCAGTCAGGACCCAGCAGCACCCTTCATGCCCTGCCTTTGGGTGCAGGAGGAGACTGACTTTCAGGGCTTCAGCTTCCATTGGTGGAAAACGGGGATCATAAGCTCTGGCTCCCAGAGGAGTTGTGGGGAAGAAAGGAGATACAGTATTTATTTCATTTTATTTTATTTTTGAGACAGAGTCTCGCTCTGTTGCCCAGGCTGGAGTATAGTGGCGCGATTTTGGCTCACTGCAACCTCTGTCTCCCAGGTTCAAGCGATTCTCCTGCCTCAGCCTCCTGAGTAGCTGGGATTACAGGCGCCTGCCACCATACCCGGCTAATTTTTGTATTTTTAGTAGAGACAGGGTTTCATCATGATAGCCAGGATGGTCTTGATCTCCTGACCTCATGATCCGCCCACCTCAGCCTCCCAAAGTGCTGGGATTACAGGCGTCAGCCACCGAGCCTGGCCTGAGCTACAGTAGTGAAAGCATAGGTGCTTCTGAAATGTGACTCCCTGTCTCCTCTCTGTGTATAACCCCCCGGACTGGGAGTCCCTGGAGCTCCCTCCACTCTGCCCCCAGAGCTGGGCTGCAGCCCCTGGGCCTCTCACAGCCATACCTCTCTCCAGCAGAAGGCGCTGAGGGTCTTGGCATGAGGCCCATCTTCCTTCTGCAGGGCTCCGTGCCAGGATGGCTCCAGAACCTGCAGGCCAAGGCCCGGGAGAGTGGGGAAGTAGGGCCCGGTGACGCAGAGCAGTGGAGGGACCAAGGTGTGGCTGCCACCCTCGGGGACGCTGAAGTTTTGCACTCCCGGTGGGGATGACAGTGGGCAGCACCTCCAGCTCTACGATACGTCCTCAAGGGGAGCACCCAGGCTGAGGCCACAACCAGCAAGAAGGCATCGCTCCAGGCCTCAGGGCAGAAGTGCAGGTACAGGATCCTGCCTGCATCCACCGCCTCTTGGGAGAAGCTCTGCATGGGGTCCAGGCTGGGTGGCTCACCTGCCAAGGCGCCAGGCGAAACCATCACCAGGTAGCTGGCACTCAGTGGGCTCTTCACTGAGAAAACGATGTCTGCCTTCTGGGCTGCCTCCTGGGCTGCCTGGTTAACAGAGGTCATGAGGACCAACAAGGGAACACAGATGGGTCTCAGAGGGGCCCACTGTGGCCCTAGGCAGCCAGAACAGGCTTGATCTTGCTCACCAGATACCACTGCTCATTTAGTCACACAAACACACACGTGGGTTCACACACACAGCAGCCAGACATGCAGCTGTTCACATTTTTTGTTTTTTAAGACAGGGTCTCACTCTGTCACCCAGGCTGGAGTGCAGTGGTGCAATCACAGCTCCCTGCAGCCTCAACCTCCTAGGTTCAAGGGCTCCCACCTCAGCCTCCCAAGTAGCTGGGACCACAGGCATGAGCCACCATGCCCGGCTAAATTTAAAAAAGTTTTTTTGTAGAGACGGGGTTTCACTGGGTTGCCCCGGCTGCTGGACACATGTTATACCCACGCCACACACAGTTACAGGGGGTTGGTCACACAGCTTGAGATGCACTCCCTTGGGGAGGTGCATAATCACATGTCCCCAGACTCAGTGACACAGACACACGAGTTCATCAGACACTGACGCAGTCACACATGTCCACATGCGCGTGTGCACATGTACACACACAGGCCCCCCTGCTCAGGATCTGTTCAGGCCTGTGGCTGGTTTGCTGGCAGTGTCTTCCCCAACCCCTGCTATTACCACCCAGGACCATCAGAGCATGCCCTGCCCCGCCCCACCCCACCCCTCCTAGAGGCACAGGCGCCCCCAACACAGGCCCTACAGAGCTCATGCCCCAAAGGCCACACGGGCTCCCTCACCTGATGGGCCATCCACAAGAGGCTAAACCACCCCCAAACTCACATTCCTGTTCTGTGCCTTTGCCCGGAATGTTCCTTTTGCCTGGAATACCACTCCCCATTCTCTGCTCCCAATGGCCTGTGCTCTTCAGAGCCCGGCCCAAACACTGCCTCCTCCCATGAGGCCTTCCTGATGCCAGATCTGCTGGCTTGCCGTGGGCCCCAAGCTCCAGACATGCAGACCAGAAGGGTCCCCGAAATGAGCAGTGTAGGAGAGTAAGGCCAAGAGCGGGCAAGAACTGGCCTGAGGTCACAGGGCATGTCAGTGAGCTCGCTGCAGGGCCCTTGGCTGCTCTGTGGGGTTCCTGGGTGGGCAGAAGCCCTTGACAGACCCTCCTAGTCCTGGTCTGGGCTCCGAGAAGAGAGCGGGATACATGGGGGTCTGAGGCGCAGTGGCCTGTCTCCACGGCCAGCTATCCCCAAAGTTCAGGACCCGTGATGCCCTCCCAGGGAACTGACTGCAATGCAGATTCTTGGGCTTCACTTCAGAGATTCTGTAGGACTGAGTGGGGTCCAGGAATCTGCATGCTCAGCCACGCCATGGACACGAGTGGACACGACCTCTAGAGGCACACACAACTCCCAGGAGGATGGGTATACAGCAGGCTCCCCAAAAACTCTTGGGAACACAACATATACAGGAGCACATCTGAGACACGTGCACACACACAATCTGGGACCACCACAGCCACAGCCCAAGTCACATGTGTACCTGGCATGGAGGCTGGGCGGGAGGCCCTCTACCTGGTCCACTACCCCACTCACCACCTCCAGCTCCTCACCTCCACCTGGTCTCTTCTGATCTCAGCTGCCTCTCCCTGGAAGATGTAGATCTTCTTGTGCCAGGCCAGCTTCAGTGGGGCTAGTGGGCCCTCTAGGGGAACAGTCACTTGTAGTGTGGCATCTGTGTGCACTGGCCCTGCTTCCATTGAGAAGGCCAGGGTGTTGCGGGGTCTGAGGCTGCCATTGTGGCCGTAGAGAATGGCCCCATGCAGCAAGTACTGCTGGGAGACGACTGTGGCTGGCTGAGTGGCCCGGAGCAATTGTCCCTAGCGAGGACACTCTGTGACGTGGTAGTGGATCTCATCCCCACTGTGGATGTCGAGGTTGGTGTCCAGGGGGAGCTCGGCCGTGTTGATGGTACCCTGGCCTCCTTGAGGGATCATGAGGCCGGAACCACTGGCCACAGAGAGGTAGGGCTCCAAGGCCTGCACCTCCAGCAGAGTGGTGGCCTGGTGCTGCCCATCAGACGCCTGCAGCTGGATCCAGCGTGGTCAGCCCCAGTGTGCAAACAGGACTCACCTCTTCCTGAGGTCCCTCACGGATGAAGCAGTAGATGGGCTGCATGGGCTCATCCACAGCCATGATACTGCCAAAGAGGAGGTCTTTGCGGGTCAGCACCAGCTGGGCATCAGCAAAGCCCGAATCAGCACTGCTGAAGGCCACGTCGACTGTAGTCAGCAGCCGCCACCTACCCCGGGCCACATGGAAGACGTGGCTGATGATCTGCATAGGGGCGTGGTCATTCACGGGCTGGATGGCCACTTGGAAGACACCCCGTACCTCCTCCCAGGCCATGTCACCACTGCTCTCATCCTGGCGGGTAGCAACAAATGGGGTATCACCTTCTGTGACCTCAGAATCATCATGCTGGTAGACCAGCCAGCCACACAACAGGTCTCCATTAGTGAAGGATGTCACCATAGTGGTCTTGTCCTGTGTCCCATGCCAAGTCAACCTCCCATGGCGGGGGCCGCTCCATGACCTCATAGAGGTAACCGGCACTGTTGAGACTCTGGAAGAGCTGGTCAGTAGAGAGGACACCCTCATCATCCTCAGGCACCACGAGGACATTGGTGAGGACAGGCATGTCTGGGTCACCGCCAGTATGGATGGAGAAGGTACAGAGCAGGGAGAAATATGGTGGAGCTGTGACACAGAAACAGAAGGTGTCCTCCACTGCCACTGAGGTGCGTGCCGTGGCCCCACAGGTCACCTGGCCAGCCTGTACATCATCCTGGGTGAAGCCCTGGCCGCCTGACAGCCTCGTGCCCTGTAGTTGAAGGCTGCCTTTCCTGGGAGCCTGAACCACCTCATAGTGGAAGGTTGGAGGGCTTGGGCCTGCCTCCTCCAGAGTGGCCTCCAGGTGGGCTGTGATGAGGGTGTCCTGCTGGGTGTCCTGAGTGTGCAGTGGCTCCAGCTGTAGCATCCACACTGTGGCTCTCTGGATGGTCACTGGGAAGGACAGATTGCTCAGGATTTCCCAGCCCACCTGCACCTCCAGATCCAGGCTCTCCACGGTGTCCTCGATGTGGTGCTGTGGGTCGGTGCTCAGCTACCTCACGTGGCCCTACTCCACGTCCGGCTGGTGGAATGCCTGTGTGGCCCACCACTCAGCACCCTCCACCCCACTAGCCCCCTGCTTCTGCAGCTCCCTGAACTGCAGGGCTCCCGCGATGCGGAACAGCACGCTCACATCCCGCCACACGGCGCTCCACCGACAGGTTGGTGGGCAAGATGGGCATGGCAGAGCCCTGGGCCAGGCACAGTCCTGTGCTGTGGTGGATCTGTATGAACAGCTGGACAGCCACCACCTTCAGCGTGGCTGAGGGCGGGGTGGCCTGCAGTCCATCGCTGATCCAGAAAATCAAGTGCTGTGCAGGGCCACCGCGGTGGTCATAGACTAGGCTGCCGGCCTCCAACTCCCAGCAGGAGAACTCGGTCACCGGCTCCCCAGGCTGCTCCACGGTCTCAGTGCTCCACGGGGAGGCCAGAGGGGGCGCCAAGGAGCTAGAAGGCGAGGCCCTCACAGGCAGAGTCCGGGTCATAGGCCTGGAAAACCTCAGGCCCCAGTGGCTTCTGCATGTGTTCCAGGAACACCATGAGGCTGCCACGTGGAAAGATGATGCCTCGTGGGTCACTGACAGGGTGAACCTGGAAGGGCAGAAGGTCATTTTGGCCCCTCTGTAGGGATGAGGGCATGGCACCAGAGCCGTCACTGACACCTCTAGCACCAGCTGGTCAGAGGTGTCCTCAGGGCCATCGTGGATGAAGCAGGCCTTGTGGTTCACCATGTCCAGGAGGGTGAACATTTTTCATGCCTGGGCACCCGGGATGTCCAGTTCAACCTCACCCTAGCATGCCCCTCAGGTCACGCTGAACAGCACCTGGGATGTGCGCAGCTCAGCCTCCATCAGGGCCAGCATGGGTTGCACGTGCTGCCACTCAAGCCAGGCTGTGCCACCCTCAGCCACCACCAGTGGGCAGATAGTCAACAGCTGGGTGAAATTAGCAGACAGGATGCAGCCCTAGCTCAGGCACTCATGGCTCAGCTAGCTCCATGGCCAGCCAAGTCTTGGGGGCCAGCATGGAGAAAGCTTCATAATGGTCACAGGCATCATCCTCATACTCCTCCACCTCCTCCAGCCTTCAGCCAGCCGCCATGTTGTGCGTCAACAAGGCTTCCCGCAGTCCCTGCCTCTGGCCATTGACACTGAGGTCTTCCATGCAGCCATCCCAGCAGTGAGGCATTGGCGGCTCCTCGTGTCAGGTCTGGGCGGTATTCCTGGAGGAGACAAGAGGCCTCTGCAACCAGCCCCCAAAGGAGGAGACTGCCACGTGGCTCCAGGTAGCTGAGGACTCCTCAGTTCAAAGTACATGCGGGGTACTGGTCCATGGAGATTTCCAGCTGGTGAATGTTGATGTGGACACTGACCTTGTGGGGCTGCCTGTCAGCCACAGGCACACTGCTGAGGAGCAATGCAGTACCCTGGCCCTTCTCGACCATGGCCCACAGGTGGCCCTCAAATATGTCCACATGGATGAAGTCCCCATGCGGGTCCCCTGCCTGGAAGGCCAAGGGTGCCTGCTGGCTCTGTGTGGTGAGTGTCAACTCCAGGGTTCCTTCATCCTGAGTGCCCCAGGCAGGGACGGCAGCTAAAGAGTGGGGCCCAGAGAAACCCAGTGCCACATCCTCACTGGCAGAAAACTCTTCAGCACAGCCCTCACGCACCTCGGGGGTCAGAGGCCGGAGGAGGCTGCAGCCATTGAGGGTGGCTGCATAGGGGCAATCTCTCAGGGGATAGCTGGGTCCCCTCAGGTAGGGCAGGCCAAGGCTCCCAATGCTCCCAACGAAGAGCCCACAGGGGACTTCTACGGGGCTCCCAGGACTGCAGAGGAGGCGTTGAGAAACCCATCAACTGACACTGTGGCCCAGCCCTCTGAGACAGTCAGCACTGTAGTGTGGGGCACGAAGTCGCTCAGCAGCATTTCTACTGGGGTCTGCAGCCTCAGCTCCTCCTGGCCCAGGACAAGTCTGACCTGAGGAGAGACGGGGAATGGGAGATGGGGAGCAGCACTTTGAATCCATCATTTCCCTTATAAAACGCACAGTGGGTTCCCCACAGTTGGGGCCCCAGAGCAGAAAACCTAGGACAAGGGCCTCTGGTGCCACTCCTCTTGCCTTCCTGCCATCTCTTTATTCATCCTCCAAACACTCACCAAAGGAAACTCTGGGCCAGGCCTGAATGGGCTCTGGGGACCCTGATGTGAATCAGATGTGCTCCTTGCCCACAAGGAACTGACATATAGCAGGAAACCCAACCTGTATTTTTAAATTCTCCTTCTCTTTCCTTGAGTGAGAGGTGCCAGAAATACTGTCTTGGAATCTAGATTTCACCCCTGGAATAAAGGGTAACTAAGAATCCCTTGATCAGTCCCCCTAAGTTTGGCAAAGTTTTTCAAGGTCACTGAGGGAAGCCAGGCTAACTGTTCAGGGATAGAGAGCCCAGGCAGATGCTCTGTGTTCGGAAAGAAAAGCTCCCTGACCTGTGGTGGAGGGAGATCTCAGGGACAGATCAAGGACATAGTTCTGTCACCATGACAATGACATCAGAAATGGCTCTGGTATGGTGCTCCCAGATGCTAGAACAGGTGGTGGCAGAGTATGGGAACTGCAAAACCAGAACAATAAGAGCCATGATCTTGGAGTCCTGGTACGGTGCATCTCTGTAGGGGTGTGGCATCACTGTACCTGCAGAGCTCAGCAGCCATCAGTGCCAGACTGTACCACATTAGTGTTCAACAGTGACACCATGTGGCAGTGAGCAGCAATGACAGCAGCAGACTGACCAAGCCCTAGTTCTCTTCTCACTGGGGTGTGGAAGGAGATGGTTGCCCCAAATTTGACTTTTTGGTTTTTTCTTTCTAAAATAGAGACGGGGTCTCATTGTGTGACTCAGACCAGTCTTGAACTCCTAGGCTCAAGTGATCTTCCCACCTTGGCCTGCCAAAGTCGTGGGATTATGGGCATGAGTCACTGTACCCAGCCTGCCCCAAATTTGGACTAAGACCCTGGGTTCTTAAACTCTTCATGGTATGGGGGAAGACTCAAGAAGGAGCCACAAAACTCCTTGATAATAAAGCTTGTGGTGTCTTGAAGGATGAAATGGAAAAATGAAGCTGAGGCAGTACTGGTGCTGTTACTGTCGTGGACAGACAGTGGTAGTGCAGAGAAATTGGTGCAGTGCCACAGGGATGCACAGGGGTCATGGGGGCTCAGGAGGGGGCCTCGCCCAGGAGGAGGGGACGCTCACTCTGAAACTTCAAGGAGAGGCTAGAGTTAGGCAGGTGCAGGGAATGAGTGAGGCACGCACCTGGCAGAAGCAGTGTAGTGACTAAAGGCCTGGCAGCAAGTGACCATAAGATGGCCAGGAACTGAAGGCAGTTCAGTGCAGTCAGAGCACAAATGGCCAGGGAGGGCTTGTGGTGGGAAACATGGTTGGAGGGAGCTGGTGGGCAGAGCCAGTTCAGGAAGGATTTACCATTTCTGGGCTGCTGCTGCCCATCCCATGGTGAAGAACTTGAGACCCCAAGATAAAAGTGACTTACACAAGGTCACACAGCCAGCTGGGGTTCAAAGCTAGAGAAGGAATCTCACCCCCATCCCAGGGGGATGTCACTCACCTGCAGGCGTCCGGAGTAGAGCTGCAGCAGGAGGTGGTCAGCTGGGCCTGCTGCCAGGAGAAGGAGGGCTTCAGGTTGGGAGGTAGAGAACTGCAGCTGTAGGTCTATGTCGGTCAGAGCCGTGGCCACGGACACCTCCAGGTGGTTCTCACCGAAGAAGGAAGCTGTGTGAGAGAGGGAGCTCTGGTCAAGGCTCAGATTCTTGCCTGGAGGAGGCGAGGTGCCATAGAGAGGGATGGGTGGGTTGCAGAAAGGGGTTCATGCTGGTGCACCCTCATGGTTCTGCTATATGGTACTGCCTCTGAGCACTGCCCAGATCCCAGCATTTCCTTGGTCCTGGCACCAGAAGGCACAGCCTCACCTTGTGTCCAGTCCAGACCTTGACTTTGCAGGAGGTCAGACCCAGAAATTCCCAGCAACTCAGGTCTCCTCCTTAGAGATTCCTGGAGCCAGAGGCCTCCGCCAGCTCTGACTCACCTCCCCTGGGCCCCAGAGGAGTCTCCCTCCCAGGTCTGGCTCCCTGACCCAGCCCAAAGGGAAACATCACTGGCCTGATCACCTGGCTTGGTGGCTCAGCCCCGAGGAATGGAGTTTCTGGAGAATCACCCCCAGTCCAGACTGATTCCTGCTGATATTCCTTCTCCTAAGTGCCCTTGTGCTTGGGCTCCTGTGCAGCACCTGCCGTGCCATGCCCTGCCTCCATGGATTGGCTGGGGCCACGGCTGGGATCTGGGGATGGTTTCAGTGGAGCCCACCTATCCCCGCTCCTCTATCAGGTCATTCTTTCAGCTGCCATTGAGGGTGGGGGCGGGAGCTTATTGGCCTCAGTTTGCCAAGGAGCAAAGGCTCTGAGGCCAGATGGGGACCATATGCAGTGTCAAACCAAAGTGGGCCCACACTTCCTCCATTAACCCTGCTACTGCTTTCTGCTGGAGAGCTATTCACAGTCGCTGCTGAGCAGCCAGATCCAGCCCCATTGTTTCCACCATGGCCAAAGAACCAGGAATGAGAACAGCTGAGCTCCCAACTGCCCCAGGCCACCACTCAGGCTGAGGCTGAAGACAGGGCCTAGGAGGGGCTGAGGGTCTGCAGGGCAGGCCAGAGAAGGCCTCACCAGGCAGAAGGCCATGTCTGGGGTTGCCTGGGGTTAGTGGTTCCCATGCAAGGCCTGTTCTGTCCCACACTGGGACTCCTCCTCTTTTGAGTTGCTGCTTCCTCCAGGCAGCTTCCCCAAATCAGCCTCCCTGACTTCCAACCTGCTGCCATAATTTCTGGTCTATGCCTTTTGTGGTGATAAGAGCCAAATACAACTTTGACTTTGCCTGCAGATGTCCAGGGCTAGGGGGCAGAAAAACACAGGTTAAAAACCGTGATTCATCCCTGTTGAGTTTCCCTCAAACCCCAAGAACAAGCACAGGCTGATGGCCTTGATAGGGTGATCCAGTACTGGCCTCACATGTGCTGGTCCCTGGCCAGCCTGAGCCAGCTGTCATCTGTTCCAGGAAGTAGCTTCAGCCATTGGAAGAGTTGGAGATTTCTACGCCCTAAGGGCAGCCAGCCCCCGCTGGAGAGATGTCCAGGAAAGATCCCGTAAGAGCCCCTCGGGCTGAGTTAAATCCCCTGTAGTTATCCCCTCCTCCTGCCGGTGGGCACTGCTGGCAACATCACCGTGTCTGGGAAGCTAAGGGAATCAAGTAAGCCCCGCAGAACAGCGCGGCAGGCTCAGCAGGCACAGCACAGCTTGGTGCCAGCAAGAGACAGACCAGGGAACTGCAGGTGGCGGCCACCTACTGGGGTGCCTTATCTGCAAAGACATTGATTCCTCAGAGCGAAACACAGCACACTAAAGGGAGGGAGGCCATAGCACAAGGGGTGGGGGCACATGGCCCTGCAGGATGGAGCCACCACCGTCACTGGCTGGAATAGCTCACAGCAGCTGCCAGGAGCCAACTGTTGCATTTTCAGGAATTTTGAGAGCCAGGTGAGACTGCCCACAGTGGGTATATTTATACCAGGCAAAGAGGCAAATACTGAAAATCAGGGTTCCCTCTCCCCAAGAAAGCCCACTGCTAAACATTTACCTACCCAGCACCCATGGGGAAGGGGACACATCTCCCTGTGCCTACCCACCTGTGCTAGTCAGGGTTCCCTAGAGGGATAGAATAAGAGATATATAGATATAGGTATAGATATAGATAGATAGATAGATAGATAGATAGATAGATAGATAGATAGATAGATAGATAGAAAGGGGAGCTTATTAAATATTAACTTACACAATCACACAGTCCCACAATAGGCTGTCTGCAAGTTTGAGGAGCAAGAAGAGCCAGTCCGAGTCTCAAAACTCAAGAACTTGGAGTCCGATGTTAGAGGGCAGGAAGCATCCAGCAGGGGAGAAAGATGTAGGCTGGGAGGCTGCTCCAGTCTTGCCTTTTCACATTTTTCTGCCTGCTTTATATTCACTGGCAGCTCATTAGATGGTGCCCACCAGTATTAAGGGTGGGTTTGCCTTCCCCAGCCCACTGACTCAAATGTTAGTCTCCTTTTACAACACCCTCACAGACACACCCAAGGGATCAATACTTTGCAGCCTTCAACCCAATCAAGTTGACACTCAGTATTAACCATCACACCACCCTTGCACTAAAGGTATATGTACACCCACTAGGGCATGGTCAACGTCAGGAATCTGGGCCAAACAGGAACTGAAGGAGACGGTTGGCTGTAACCACTGAACCATCTGTCTGCAGCCCCCTCCCAGCAGAAGAGAGAAGAGCCTGTTTGGCCAGAGTGGAACGGTGGCAAGAAACAGAGGTACTTTCCAGAGCGCTGAGGTCTGAATGGGTCCACTGAGGGGCTGGGCCCTGCTGCTTCCTGTGGGGCTGAGCGGGAGGGGCTCACAGAGGCTGCCTTGTGCTGCTGGATTGCATAGCCAGTCAGGACCCCACACCAAGAGGCCTCTGAGGCCTTGCTGGCCAGGGCTTTGGAAACTGGCAGCGCCGCTTCCCCCACCTTCTGATCTCCTTTGTCTGCCCCTCTTACACTCTCTTGAGGGGCTGCAGTTGCAAGAACCCAGAATCTCTGTCTTGGAGGTAGTGAGGGGCGGGGGCAGTTGAAGAGGGGCTTTGAATGGAGAGGGTCTGCAGGATAAAGATTTAATAAGCTAGGAGTCAATCCAGAAGACTTCCTGGAGGAGGTGATGGTGGTGTAGAGTCACAGAGAGGGAGGAATAGGCAGTCTCAGAGGACAGCAGCAAGTCCAAGTGAGAGACTGGCAGAGGTATACAGGACCCCACTGGGTGGGGTGAGGAGGGTTTCTGCTCCCTCACCCCCTAGAGCCTCTGGCTTATCACAGGATAAGAGCCAGCTAAGCTCCAGGGCTTTCCAGGAAAAGTGTCACTTGGAAAGGGTGTGACCTTTTCACCGCTCCCAACAGCACCCTAGAAATGGTTTGGCCTTTCCCCTCCCGAGTTCCACAGAGAACACAGCCAGCAGAGGACACATTATCTGTCATCCAGAAATGGATCTGATTCTCAATCAAGGGACAGCAGGACTGGTAGAGACTGTCAGGCCACACGGCTGCCTGCACAGCACCCCCATGCTTGGTGAGGGGTGAGGGGGATGGCAGGGGCTGGCTGTCCACAGGCCAGACATGACAGGGAGGCTCACCAGAGGTGGCGCACTTTGGAGGGACAAAGTCAGGGGAGAGCTTCCTCTTGCTGGGCCACAAGACTCCACAAGGACAGCACAGTGACTGATTCCCAGCACTAGAGGCGAGGCAATCGGCCACGTGTAGGTGTATATCTGTGTGTGTGTGTGTGTGTGTGTGTGTGTGTGTGTGTGTATTTATTTATTTAGATGGAGTCTTGCTCTGTCCCCCAGGCTGGAGTGCAGTGGCGCGATCTCGGCTCACTGAAACCTCTGACTCCTGGGTTCAAGCAATGCTCCTGCCCCAGCCTGCCAAGTAGCTGGGACTACAAGCACCCACCACCACTGCCGGCTGCTTTTTGTATTTTTAGTAGAGATGAGGTTTCACCATATTGGCGAGGCTGGTCTCAAACTCCTGACCTTGTGATCTGCCTGCCTCGGCCTCCCAAAGTGCTAGGATTACAGGCGTGAGCCACAGCACCTGGCTATTTATAGAATATGACCTCAACTATTTAAACATATCTGTAAGGGTATATGTACTTTGATAACAAAAAAAAAAAAAATACATACTGATAGAAACTAGCCATCATGTCAACAGTAGTTATATTAGGTAGAGAAATTATGTGAGATTTTAATTTTTTTATATTTTACTACTGATCGCAATAATGGTTCTTTATAAGTTTTATAATCAAGAAAACAAAGGTTTCTAAAGTTTTTGCAAAATGGGAAGTTATATTTCTTTATATACTAAAGACAAAAACAAAACTTCCTATTTGAATACCTTTGACTTTTACTGCAGACTTACAGACCCCTGAAAGAAAAGGCAATTCCCTCCCACTAGTTCTGGTGTCATTCTCCCATCTCTGCCTTCACTTCCACCTTGGTCTTTTTTCTACTTCCCACCTTGGCTACTGGTCGCTACCCAAAACGCTTGGTTGGCTTAATGGTTAGAATTCAGGGAAAAAGAGACCCTGAATTCCTAATCTAAACTAAGGTTATACATGTGGGAAATAATAAAGAGAAACCAGGTAGTAAATAAGATTTGGAGGACTTAAAATACCCAGACTTTAATTCCTCTAAGATTATAGTTATTAATCATGCTTTTATATCATATTATCACTTAACATTTAATTTGTAAATATAATGTTCATGAGGAAAAGAGAAAATAGCTTGGCTTTTTTCCTCACCGAATTGTTGTTCTTAGTATCTTCTAGATATTCCAGAACTGATGTCAGATTTGGCTCATCAGAGTCCACAAATCATATTGGTGAAGAAGATGAATAGGATTCCTGTTCAGCACAGAGACACCTGTGTTAAACGTTTACATACAGACTAACCCAAATATGCAATTAAACCACACCACTAAATGGCAAGACGACCATGGATTTAAACAAAATGTATCAGGGGGAAAAGGTAACACATTAAAACCCATATGAGGCGCTGGACTTCTCAGACAGCCATTCTCCTTGCACAGCACTGTCTGCTGCTACAGCTCATAGAAGTCAACAATTTTCTTCAACACTGGTAGGCAGCCTCTAAATGGGCCCGATCACCCTCACCTCCTGCCATTCACACCTTTGTAAAATTCCCATCCCTGGACCTAGTGACTCACTTCTACCAAGGAGTATACAGCAAAAGTAATAACATCACTTCTGAGGTGAGGCTACAAGGAGACTATGATGCCTGCCTTGGTCACCCTTCTCCTGCTCTCTCCATTGCTCCCTCTGATGGAAGCCAGTTGCCATGTGATGAGGTGCCCTATGGAGAGGCCCACATGGCAAGGTATTGCAAAAAGCCTCTGACCAGTAGCCATCTAGAAAAGGAGGCCCAGTCCAACAGCCTCTGAGATGAATCCTGCCAACGTGAGCTCGGAGGTGGATTATCTCCCTATCCTGCCTTGGGATGATCCAGCCACCTCCAACACCTTCACTGCCTGGTGAGAGGCCAAGCCAGTGAATCCAAGGTAAACTGCAGAGACTCCTGACCCACAGAAACTGTGACATAACATTTATTGTTTTAAGCTGCTAAATGTGTTACAGAGCAATAGATAAGTAATTCAAACACCATAAAATTCTAACATTTTATTCTATCACATGAACCAAGTAATACCAATAAATGCCATTACTATACATAATATTTTTGGAATACAATTACATGTGATTTTTTTAAACAGCTAATGAACTAAGCATCATGTGCTTTCACCCACTAACAAACATTCCCTCTGTTACGTTGTACTGTTTTCTATTATAAATTGGGGAAAAGCCATTATTATTATCTATTAGCTTCAGAATAACTAGGTTCAAGTCATGGAAAACAATTTTGCACAAACAACTTTTAAGAAAAACAAGATGGGCCAGGCACAGTGGCTCACTCCTGTAATCTCAGCACTTTGGGAGGCCAAGGCGGGCGGTAACGAGGTTAAGAGATAGAGACCATCCTGGGTAACAGGATGAAACCCTGTATCTACTAAAACAAAAAA